TACGGCCACATTTTACCATTGGGATCCTACATGCTGTCCTGTCCCCAGCTCAGTATTGTACTTCCTTTGCAACGGTCTAGATGGACCTACCGAACAGTTGGTGTTATCGGTTGATAGCTTTTGGATAATAGGGTTTAGGATAGCTGTTTATACGTTAACACGATTATCTTATAAAAGTAAAATAGAATTATAGCAAGTAGCTCTTGCTCTTCAAAGACAGTGCCTTTGGAGAATTATAGTGACTATGGCCACTCTTCAGAGGAGAAAGCGTCTCTGGTGATTTGATTATAGTGATTAAGATCACTCTTCAGAGGAGATAGCGTCTCTGGTAATAGTAAAATTATAGTGAATATTATCACTCTTCAGGGGAAATACGTCCCTGGTATTTCAAATATAAAGCACTATGGCGCTAAGTATGGGCAAAGTATAATGGGTACAAAAGTGGATGATCTCAGGCATCATCCAGCCAGCTCTTATATAGGTTTGGGAGGCATAGCCTCATTACATACAATAAACTGGCTAAGTACCAAAGACACTGTCAGGCTGTACAAACAATATAATACAGGCTATACAGGCAAGCATAACACAGCAATACAATCATAAGTAAACACAGCATACATTGGAGTCAGCATGGAAGGGGAAAGCATGGTCATAGATCAGTCAGAATCCATAATATAACTTGTACCTGTAACAGTTGGGAACCGGATTCGACTGCACCATCCAATGGAGTCGACCAGCATAATGATGACAACGAAACTCCACAACCACGCCGTCAAAGTGCGCTCTTAACTCGATTTCTTAACCTACGAGATTGCTGACACTTGTCTTAGGAACACCGCCTAGTGGAGGCCCACGTTCGAGCATACATGAGATAATGGCTCGTTACCACAGGATCTCAAGAGATATGGACGAGTATATGCAAAGCCAAAATTCGCAAGAGAACTCTGCCGAAGGACACGGAGAGCGTCGCGAGACGCCGCTCGCGCTGGCAGAGTCAACCAGAATGGCGATTGAAAGGGCCGAAATGCTGGCGCGCTCCGAGCCACCTGATGAACAGACTTTGAATCAGTCAGGAGTCAACAATAGTAGTGTGGCGGACGACGAATGCTCTATTTGTTTCGAAGTCATCCCTCAGGCGGGTGCACTAGCGGTCGAGCCTGATGACGAACGACACTTTCTGCCTTGTGCACACTTTTTTCATCACAAGTGTATTACACAGTGGCTACAGAACTTTGGAGCGGTATGCCCCCTCTGTAGAAGAGACCCTAGACGGGCAGGGCGAGAGCTATTAGGCTCGCCAAGTTCTGGCGAGGATTCTGACAGCGATTCGAGTACAGAGGATAGAAATAACGGGGGTGGAGAAAGAATAGGTTTGCCTCCTCTGCTCATAGCATTACTGCTCGCAGCTCGGTACCCAGGTCTTTTCCTTCTCTTGGAAGACACCCTACCAGCCCCCATGCTCGATGATCTCGTCCGAGACGATATCTCTCTGAGACCTACTCCAAGATCCTCAGTACATGAAGCTGTCATGGCCAACGCCGGGCCAGCTGAAACAATGGACGCAGCCGGTACAACAGAGACCAACGAATACAGACAGAGACCAACCTGTACTATTTGCCAATCGTCAATGCGTCTTCCAAACCAAGAAGGTTCTGAAACAGTCGATGATAGTACCTCCAGTGAAACATCTGGGCATTCCGAAGGCGCCATTTCGACTCTGCCCTGCACCCATTCTTTCCACTTTGCATGTATATCTACATGGCTCGTCGAATCACACTCTTCCTGGAGACGACGTCGATGTCCGATCTGCAGATACGAGCTAACCCTGCAAGAGACAGAGACCATTCTCAATCCGCATATTGATAGTCCTCAAAGCACTTCTACAGTGCTTCCGAACGATGGCGTGGATCTACATGACATGGAGATGCCTTCCCCTCCCTCTCCCGCATCCCATATATCGTCAGACGATTCTCTTATTGCCGACGAACGGCTCATGCCTCATATAGGATCGGAAAGTCGTGACGAGAATGATATCAGGGCAGCCTCTAGGAATGATGTTCATGACAGTGAAACAGATCATTCAATTGATATGCTTCTCGATGGAGATGATACAGGCCACCGCGAAGCGAGCACTTCATACAATGCGCCTGCAGCTGCCAACCTTTATCCAATCACCTCGATAGGCTATCCACCGCTACCTCATCTTCTTCCTAGGGTGGATAGGGACCGGCACCACGAGTCAAATACGCGCCCATCACCAAGCTCACTTTGGATGCCGATAGGGGATGTCACACTCCCTGTAGAGCCCCAACCTCCTACACACCTACAAACTAACGACACAACCGAAGTTAGTGATAGATTGGTCTCCTTTTCTAGATTTTTTGAAGATTTAGAGGCCACTACAAGAGGCCCAGTGGTCTCTCCAGCCCAAACGGGGACGAGGGGCGAAGTCAATGATCCGCTGCGAAGTGCAACCAGTGATTTACCTACAGGCACGGTAGATAGAGGTAGCAATGTACCAAATCCTATTACTACTACTCCATTGGACCTATCGAGGACCCTTCCGTCATTGCCGACGGAAGGACCTGAACGATACGGTCAACCTGGGAGAGCAATTCGTCGCCCTTCGATCTCCCACAGGCTCATAACAAGCGCAAGGGAACCAGAGGAGGGAATGCAAGCGTCAAACCCTGCTCCTCCCATCTCGATTCCCGTTCGCCCACCCGCTGTGTATTCCACAGAGGCACCCATACCACTAGTAAGCATAGGACGAGATACCTCACACGTCCGTGCTCAACAATCCCCGATACCTGAAGAACGGCACGTCATAACTACTCAGCCACACCTTACAGAACAACCGCACATTCCTACACCAAGTTCAACTGCAGCGCCAATCACTCGTCAGCCCAAACTGAAAAAGCCAATGTCTATGTACACGAACAAGAGCTATAGCAAGTCCACATGTGATGACTGTGACGGCGTTTGCAAGGCAGTCGTTGTCTGCGCTCCATGGCTGGTGGGCATAGGTATAGCGTACGGAGTATATGCCTTCATAAGGCATGTAATTCAACCAGCCTGTCAGTCTTGCTGTTGTTGCTGTTCCAAAGCGACTTGTTGCTGTAAACCTGGTCACGAATGTTGCTGTTAAAGCTAGATTGTACTCATGCTCAAGTCGCAGCTTGTACGCTATAATCGATAGGTTAATCCAAGATTCTAAATTGTAAACTCCTTCGTCGGGTCATGAATCGCAAGTTGGGAACCAACCTTTACTCCATCTCTCAGATTCTATCTGCGACTCCTTGAGCTGTAGTTCACGACTTGCATAAAGAACCGGAATTCAGTTGAACGAACAAGTTAGGGCAAAAGGTATATACCCTAATGGACAAAACTAGTCAATACGATGCACGCATCATCATCGGCTTTATCAGCAGTATCGAGAAAAGAGAAAAAGGGAGCGTGAAACCAGGGAAAAGATCGGGTTGAATGGTTTTTACGATGGGGTTGTGGATGCAGAGAACACGACTGTCCAACCCCAAAAACATTATATCAAAAAAGAAAAGATGCAGAAATGAGGATTGTATCAGGTCGTTGCAAATTGAGTAAAGAGAGGAGGATAATGGGAATCATGCATGAGGACCCGGGACGTCGGGACCAATGCCGCAGAGCCCTGTCTTGGCCCTTACATGCACGATTCGAGTCTCGATACAAGACTTCTCACCCTTCAAACAAGCCCACTAGCTCGACGTGCTCCCGAAAGGGTGCGGAATTATGTAATCGATGACCTCCACATTCAGCCCAAGACCTAGCCAAAGGAAGTATTCGTACTCTTGATGAACATTGTATCCGTATTAGGAGATGGTATAAATCCTTTTCCCCAACAACCTCTATAATTATATTTTAAGTTCACAGCAGACAAACAATAAACAGGCAATCGCTCTCGACCACACCAACACACTCAAAGAAAGGGGCATCACGAAAAACATGATCGACTATTTCTTCACTCTGCTATATCTTTATGTCTGCAAATGATGCTTATACTGGGAGTGATCAACGATCGATTCTCGCATCCTCATGACCCTTTCGATTCTCATCTCGCTAAATCAGGAGTATAACCGACCAGCCTACAGTCGACTGCAGTCTACATCCAGGAGGTTGGAAATATGACCAAAATCACTGGCCCAACGGGCATGTCAACGCGACACAAGCTCCGTCTTTTGGGGCCTACACACTATTGCTCCCATCAGTAAAATATGAAATTGCTAGAGTGCGCTAGGTAGCAACTCTAGCAACTCTAGCTACCCCCCCTCCTATCTAGCACTAGATAGCACATCAATTTGCTAGAGATTTACTAGAACTTACTAGAGCTCTGTTCCCAGACTAACTGATGTAGTGGTTTCTAGTGAAATGTAGCAGAATATCTATTATAATCTACATACATGGACACTAGTCTACCAAAAGATAGTACTCACTGATGATGACTCATAGCCTGAAGGGGAGGTCAGATACTCACAGAAGATAAAAAGAAAGGACTTACATAAGTTAATAAGATGGGAAGAAAACACCTATAACAATTTTCAAAGTCAGATTAGGGTGAGGACTTAGAAAAAATTTACTTACTGGAGGGAGGCAGGTGTATTCTATGTTGAAGCCAGGATATTGGAGAGGTGGATGAGAATGAGGGACAAGAAATGATGAGAAAGGGCTGGGAGAACAATAGAGAATGACTTACTAATCAGAGGCATGGGTGCTGGAAGGCCAAAGGGGTGTCAGAGAAGGGTGGTGGTGGTAGGGTCCAAGGTTAGTTTACCACCTGCACCCAGAGGACTTGGGAAATTTCAGCTGGCTAACCTCTTCCTAATGGAATATTACCCTATTTGAAAGTGAAATGTTGCATGGTTGATATAGAATAATATTTTTATAAACATTGAAATTGAGAATAGCATCATCCTACCAATATCTTGAATTTTCTCTAAGTCCAAATCCTAGCTGTCTCCTAGCAAGTCTACTCAGTCATCCACTCTAGTGACTCAAAGTCATCATAGTGAGCATCAATTTCCTAGTGCTCATTGCCACATAAAAGTGTGCACACTCTAGCACACTCTAGCAATTCTCTAGCAACATGATTGGCTAGGAGTTGCTAGAGTAGCTAGAGTAGTATTTCTTGTTTTGCTGATGCCCAGTCCAATATCACATCTCTTCCTGAAAAAGTCTAAGGATGGAGCTGCTGCATCAGGGGATTGTCAAAGGCCACCTAGTTTTACCTAGCAACCCCCAATTCAATCATTGAATGTGAGGCTGGGATATTTGAATTGATGGGGCTGCTAGGTAAAACTAGGCAGTTTTGACAATCCACAGATGTGTAGCGGTGGCATATAGCGTGTAACCTGCTAGCCTATTGGGACACCTAGTTGGTAGCCTAGAGGTAGGATGGTGCGAATTCATCCTGTTCCAGTTTTAGGGTCAGACGTTACAGCTGCTCAGCAGCTGGGGAACTTGTTTCGACTTTTGAGAACCGATCCAGTCTCTCAATTTGGGCCTAACGAGCGCAATGATAGCGACGAGACACCAGGGCAACCAACTAGGCAAGATTCCGAAAGAGACATACCTCATAGTGTGATTTTCTATTGCCCTGTGATGTGCAAGATTGCTGACGCTTGTACTAGGAATTCTGCCCAGTGACGTCCCACGTTCAAATATACACAAGATAATAGCCCCTTACAATAAGGGATTTAAAGAGGTGAATGGGTATATGTAGAGCCAAGATTCGTCAGAGAATCCTGCTGGAGACATGAGAGTGTCAAAAGATTTCACTCTCGCCACCAAGCATACCTCTCTCCTTGGCAAGGTGGTCTCGGACCGTTGCAAAGGAAGTACAATACTGAGCTGGGGACAGGACAGCATGTAGGATCCCAATGGTAAAATGTGGCCGTATTTATATACCCGCTCGGTATATTTCTGGCAAACAGGGATGGAGACCGCCAAACGTAGGCTGGTTGATATCACTCCAGCAAATTCCTAATTCATCAACCCTGATGAGATGTCATGATATTGTGACATTATTGGTCGAGTACACACTCGTTGTGCGTGTAAACCGTGTGGAGGGACCAGGAGCATCTCTGAGGCAGACTGTGCGTCTGTTGTCTGTCGTATTGTCACAACTAGGGCTTTGTATCTCCATATTCTAGCCAGATATTTCGAATAGACCCAGCATATTGGTTCTCTCTGTCTCCAGAAGTTTGCTAAGAGGAGACACATGGTTGGTGGCGAGAGCAAAGTCCCTCAACGCACGCGATGCCCTTCACCAAAATTCTCTTGAAGGTCTTGGATTTCCATATGCCTGCTGATCTCTTACTGCAAGGGGCTAGTATTTCGCGCACATTTGAAGGTGGGCTGCGACTGGGCACAGTTCCTGAACAATTCTATATGTCAAAGTGCATAGAAGAAGCGTACTCTGAAATATATCATCTTCAGAATCTTGCCCAGTTGACTGCCTTGATGTTGTCATCATCATTGTGCACTTGAGGCCCATAAGTTCTCAAAGTCGAAACAAGCCTTCAGTTGCCAAGCACCTCCATGTTCGAACCTTTTTAGAAGAGATGTAATATTGGACTGGGGGCATTATAGTGCTTGGGTCCCAGATGTTGGGTCTTGTATGGCACTGATACAGCCATTGGGTCAATCAGTGGTGGCCATACTCCTGACCTCTGGGTTGGAGGCTGTCGATTTTATGCCAGTCGATCATATTCCTGATTTGGCGATGTTCAGAGAGGGTCCCTTAGGTTGTGAGAATGTTGATCACTCCAAGTATGGGCCTCATGTACAGACTAGAAAATAGATAGTAATGAAGAAACAGTCGGTTATCTTTGGCACGATGTCCCTTTCTTTTTATCTTCTGTGAGTATCTGACCTCCCCTTCAGGCTATGAGTCATCATCAGTGAGTACTATCTTTTGG